CTCTTCTCTTTCCTTTTGTTCCCTTCGCTTTCCTTCTCTTATGGAAAGCCAAATCATAACCAAAGATTGCACTTTGAATACAGAACCCTGGAGAGTTATGTTAGAAGTATCAAATGTTTGTAGTCATCATACAAAAATATCTCATTAATCTGTGTGAGTTGTTCACAGCTCTGTGAAGTGATTCTGTCCATACTGAAATCCTCACAATCATTTTATATTTTTATTGTTTTTAAATTTTTGATCTTTCTATATCATTTGGTTTTAGATGCATCTCTTTTAACTGAGTCATCTAGTTCATTCACACTTAAGGTAATTACTGATTTGCTTGGGTATTTATTTATTATTATTATTTTATTTACAAAAGCTATTTATTTATTGGTTATGAATATTCATGAGATACAAAGCTGATTGTCACCACTCATGCCCAAGATGTGATGGCCAGATCCATATTGGCAGCATGCCCATTACCACAAATTCTGTCTCCCACCCAACTGTCCCCAACCTCCCTACCCATCCCCCAATACCCCACTCCCATTTTGTATCCCTAGGTATGTTCTCTCCCTCTGCAAGTCCAATGCACCACTGTGGACTTTCTTTCCTTCCTTCTTTCTCTCTTAGCTCCCACTTATGAGTGAGCACATGCGGTATCTATCCCTCTGTGCTTTGCTTATTTCAGTCAACGTAAGTCCCTCCAAGCTCATCCATGTTGTTGCAAATGGGAGGATTTCATTCTTTTTTATGGCATAGTATTCCATGATGTATATATACCACATTTTCCATATCCAGTCATCTGTTGATGAACAATTTAGGTTGATTCTAGCTTTTCAATATTGTAAACAGAGCTGTGATGAACATGGGAGTGCAGATATCCCTATGACATGATGATTTCCACTCCTTTGGTTATATACCCAGAAGTGTGATTGCTGGATAGTATGGAAGAGCTATCTGTAGTTGTTTGAGAAACCTCCATAGTGTTTTCCATAGTGGTTGTACTAATTCACAGTCCCACCATCAGTGTAGGAGCGTTCCCTTCTCTCCACACCCATGCCAGCATTTGTTATTCTCAGTATTTTTGATGATTATAGCCAGTCTAACTGGGGTGAGATGGTATCTCAATGTGGTTTTAATTTGCATTTCCCTGATGACTAGTGATGTTGAGCATTTTTTCATGTATCTGTTGGCCATTCATATATCTTCCTTTGAAAAGTGTCTATTCAGCTCCTTTGCCTATTTTTTAAGCTGGGTTATTGTTTTTTCTAGTGTATAATTGCTTGAGCTCCTTGTATATTGCGGATATTAATCCCTTGTTAGATGCATAGTTAGCAAAAATTTTCTCACACTCTGTAAGTTGTCATTTCACTCTGTTGTTTCCTTTGCTGTGCAGAAGCTTTTTAGTTTGATATAGTCCCATTTGTTTATTTTTTTTTCTTTCATTGCCTGTGCTTTCGGGCTCATGTTCATAAAGTCTGTGCCCAGACCTAGTTTCTGAAGTGTTTCACCTATATTTTCCCTTAGTAATTTTTCAGTTTCAGGTCTTATACTTAAGTCTTTAATCCATTTTGAGTTGATTTTATTATATGGTGAGAGATACATATCTAGTTTCATTCTTCTGCATGTGGATATCCAATTTTCCCACCAGCACTTATTGAAGAGGCAGCCTTTCCCCCAATGTAGGTTTTTGTTGCCTTTGTGAAATATCAGATGGCTGTAAGCCTGGGGGGTGATTTCTGAGTTCTCAATTCTGCTCCATTGGCCAAAGCGTCTTTTTTTATGCCAGTATCATGCTATTTTGGTTACTATAGCTTTGTACTGTAATTTGAAGTCAGGTAGTGTTATGCCCCTGGCTTTAATTTTTTTTTTGTTTTTTGTTTTGGATTGCTTTAGCTATTTGGGGTCTTTTGTTGTTCCATATGAATGTTAAGATTGTTTTTCCCAATTCTGTGAAGAATGACATTGGTATTTTGATGGGAATTACATTGAATCTGTAGATCACTTTGGATAGTATAGACATTTTCACAATGTTAATTCTTCCAATCCAACAGCATAGAATGTCTTTCCATCTTTTTGTGTCTTCTTTAACTTCTTTCAGTAGCAGTTTGTAGTTCTCATTGTAGACATCTTTCACCTTCTTGGTTCAATTGATTCCTACATATTTTATTTTTTGTGTGTGACTTTTGTAAACGGGCTTACTTTATTGATTTCTCTTTCTGTTAGTTCATTATTTGAGTATATAAGTGCAACTGATTTGGGGGCATTTATTTTGTATCCTGCAATGTTACTGAAGTTATTAACCAGCTCTGGGAGTTTTTTGATAGAGTCTTTAGGTTTTTCTATATAGAGTATCATGTCACCTGCAAATAGGGAAAATTTGATTTTGTCTTTTCCAATCTGGATGCCCTTTATTTCTTTCTCTTTCCTGATTGCTGTGACTAGTATCTCCAGTACTATTTTAAATAGAAGTGGTGAGAGTGGGCATCTTTGTCTTGTTCCTGTTCTTAATGTAAAAGCCTTCAGTTTTTCTCCATTCAGAATGATACTGGTGGTGGGCTTGACATAGATGGCTTTTATTGTGCTGAGATACTTTCCTTCTATACCTAAGTTGTTGAGTCTTTATCATGAAGGAATGTTGAAGTTTGTCAAATGCTTTTACAGTGTCTATTGAGATAATCATATGGTTTTTGTCCTCAAAATCTAATTACTAAGGTTCCCTTTTTCAGGCTCAGACAACTATTGGATATTCATGATCAGTGTTTGACTTGCTGATTTTCCTGTTTCTAAATTTCCATAGCAAAATAATATCCCTTCCAATGCATACATCCTTTAGCTATGTTTCTGAAGTCAATAAATCATGAAACCATTGCCTTTTCTTAAGGCGACTTTGCATATCTATGTTCCACATTTTTAGGTGTTTCTCTTACTACTTAGAGCTTTGAGGTTAACCTTTTTCTTCTCTTCCAATACTTAGCTGAAACCTTCCTACGGCCACTGGGGATAGCATCCCCTTACCCTTTATTTGCTATTTGACATGTAGTGAATGTTACTCATATCCTCAGCATCAATACATTCATACATTTTTGTCATTTCTCTTCTCTAACTTTACTATTCAGACTAAGGAGAATAATTTCTCTTGCCTCTATTAGGGTGAAAACTACTTTAATATCTTAATTTCTCTTCTCAGGAACATTTAAAATAAATTTCTGTAATAGCTAAAGTTTATTCAGTTGTTTACTTAATAAATATGATAGCATGATTAATTTGTCGTGAATAAGAAGAAGGAGGGGACTTGGATCTTATTTTCACAATCACAATTTCCTTCTAATAAAATATATAATTCAGGTCTGGCACCTGCTACATCGTTTGTGTGGACCATTCCAAAATATAGGGCCCTTTATTCAAAAAATAATTAAGAATTTTAAAAGAGAAAAAACAGAACATTATGCAAGCCTAGGACTATTCTGAGCACAGGATCCTATGGCACTACACAAGTTGCATGCCCAGGAAGCTGACCTTTGCAGGTCTTTGGGGTAGGTGGCAGCTGCAAATAATATTATAAATATATAAATGTCTATAATAATAGAATTTCATAAATACAGTTTTAGGAATAAAATAGTATATAATGTAATTGAATGGAGCATCATAACTATGCTTTGGCACAGGGCATTCTGAATAGAAATATGTAATTAATAAGAAACTACTTTTAGTTTCAAGTTTATTGTTGACCGTGGTACCCTGCTTTGGTTTAGCCTGAGGACTCAGAAGCCAGATTTCTTGGGTTCTAAAACCTCGCTCTATCTATTCTACAAGCCATGGGTAATTGGGCATATTTACTTACCTTTCTGTGCATTATTGTACCTTTCTGTGCATCATTGTACATGTGCACAGGGATGATAACAGAATCTATCGCATAGGTTTGACATGCAGATTATTGAATTTCAGGTCTTTTGAAGAGTTCCTGGTATGTAATAAGCATCCTAATTCTACCCAGTTTTATCAAAATCTTTTAAAATTTTTTTGTTTTTACCTTAGTGGATACAATATCCCAGACATAATTTAATTTTATGGTTGTAAATTAGTGACCAGTATAATATTTCATAAAATATATTTCATGATATTGTTGTGTAGAATTACAAATTTGACAATAGATGAGGTATTTACTTCATGATGATAGAAATTAATGATGTATTTTTTTTTCTCTACGAGAACATTGAAAGGATTTTTATTTTTAAATCCTTTCTCTGAGCTTCTTCCCCATCACTATTTGGCTTTAAAAAAAAAAAATCAAAGATCTAAATCACCTGGTTAATAGAGGAATCCCATTAATACGTTATTTAATTTTAGAATCCAATTCAATTCAATCTTAGCATTTTAGGCATTCTTAAATACGTTTAAAGGCAAGCTTGTTTGGAAGTAATCCATTGTGATTAATGCAAGTTATTTGCATCTATTTTATGTCACTGAATAATAAAGCTTTTTATATTCATACGAAATATGTTTATTTATTGATGATTAACAATCTGTTTTTGTGCTTTACAGAGAAGATATACTGATTTACAATCTATAAACTAAACCTGTGCCATCATGAAATACAATCTGAAATATTTAGTTTAAACATCAAATTTAGGACCAAATCAGACAACAACCATAGTTTATTTTCAGCACTGGTGGTAAATTTATTGTAAACTAGTTCACTTAAGATGGTTTCTAAGAAACTATTCATTCTGAGCAATATAATCTTAAAAAATAATGTCCTAATCAGGTATAGTTTCTAAGTACTGGTGTGGTAATACTTCCAGGTATTTTTCATTTAGGATTGTGAGAATCTGGGAAATAACTGCGCAGTATAGCTATATTTGTTGGTTTTGAAAGTTGAAAAGAAAGTAAAAAGCAATGCTCTTAAATTTACCACACAGCTTTCTAACCATACCGTGTACTTGACCCCTTCTTTCTTCTGTGGCTCTCATTATGTAATATCTTTATTCAATCTCTTTTTCTCATATCAGACAGTATTACTGAAGTCTTCACTAACATCTACGTGACCAGTTTTGGCCCTGTCTCAGATACAGATATGGTGAGTTTTTCATTAAGTAGCATTTTCACTTTATATAAAGGGAAGTGTGTGTGTGTGTGTGGGGGGGGAATTTTGAATAAATTATTTTAAAATAGATATGGTGAGTTTTTCATTAAGTAGCATTTTCACTTTATATAAAGGGAAGTGTGTGTGTGGGGGGGGGGAATTTTGAATAAATTATTTTAAAATAAAAAAAATATTTTTACTGTTACAGAATTATGTATCTCTTTTGTGTCTAGTTAGTCTGCCCAATACATCAAGAGTTAAGGACGTTAACCCGTTTAAGCTGTTGTGCTCAGTTCCAGCTTGAGTGTTCAGATTACCCCTGTACATTTTATATTCTTTTCAAAACTTGTCTACCTAGCTACATTGTGGTAAAGATTGTTTAAATAAAAGTAATCGTATTACTGAAAACAATTTTCTGGGACTGAGGCACCTGCTTGGACTTCCATAAGTCTGTTCAGTTTTATAAACCACTGCTTCTTACAGAATGTGGTCATGATCAGTGTTAATAGAAGAAAAACTTCTTTTGTCACTGAGCAAGGTGGGTGCCTTGTCATGCTCTCTACATGCATACAGTACATACAGTCAGCACACATAGCAGGCACATGCAAATCAATCTAAAGAAAACTAGAACCTTGATAGTCTTGGATACTATGGAATTGGTGCTTACTTTATTTAAAATGAGGATAGGAAAGGGAAATTGGTCTGGTGGGTTAGAAACTAGTGGGCTAGAATCATCAAGGGTAAATTTTTAATTTAGTATAAAAATTTTAGTAATCAGTCTTCCATTTCTACTACTTAATATAGTGCTTTGTAACAGAAATGTTTGTTTAAATGATTTTTCATTCATTAGTATCTTGTCAGGTTCTGCCAGCAGATGCCAGCCTTGCTTTGCAATCTCCTGATGTGCACATCCCTTGTCGTAAGCGACCTCGCTGGCAAGTCTGTGGCTCATAATCTCACTCTCCCCTCAGGCATCCTGCACTCCAGGGCCCTACTGCTCTTCTGAGGTCTATCTTCTTTATGGTCCAGGGATTGAGCATTAGAGCAGATGTTCTTGTCCCTTTTTAGCTCAGTCATCCCCACCATGTCATTTCTCCCCAATTTCTTCTATCTCTCTAATAACTAAAGAAGAAAGTTGGCAAGTTTGGAGATTTTCCACCTGGATAAACAAACAACAATAAGATTGTCCCTTTATTCCAACATTCACAAAAATTATGAGTCAATTTATTGGGACCTCCCTACCTTTCCATTAGGGAGTATAAATGCCACTTTTATCATAAAATGTCTGCTTTTTCTTCCAACAGAGACACTTCTCTAATATCATAGTCGTTTTCTTATATTGGCCTGGGTGACTGAAAATGTGAGACACCATGGAGTTGAGGGTGATCCCCACCTTTGGGGTGGTGGTTGATACCAAACACTGTCAGGTCTTTAAATTTCTTTCAAGTTAGAATGTGAAGATTTAAATGCTTTCCCCTGCCCCCCAACTTCAAGTTGTAGGCACAATTCTGGAACAACAAGAAAACCCACTTTTCAACATACCCCTCCTGTGTCCCTGCATTATATTATATTTTAACCTGAAATATTAATCTGCTTCTTACCATAGGTTAATTTAAGTAGACAGGACCTTGAAATGATGACATAGACATATTTAGTAAGAGTGTGTATTCCAAATGTGACCGGTTGTCTGTAAAGATAATCTTGCCTTGATAGATACTCCTTGTCTTAGTGCAACTTGTCTTAGTAAATGATTCCAAATAATAGAGACACAGTGAGAAAAAACACTTAACTTCTAGGATAGAACAGACCTGTAGTTGCTAGAGGTGGGAAAGGGGGAGAAGGAGGGAGTAATTAGGTAAGGGACACAAAGAATAATTTTGATTGTAATGATGAGCATGCTAATAATATTGATTTGATCACCACACACTGTACACAAATCCTGATAATCAACTCTGTATCCCATAAATATGTACAATTAAGTATTTTTCAATTCAAACATTAAATTTATAAAAAAGATAGAAAAAGAAAAAACAACTAACTTCTATGTAGCATCAAGTGCGGAGAGTCAGGATTTTGTGTAGTGCTCCACCGAGAAACTAGCAGAATATTATACAAATGATAAATTTTATATGATTACCTTTGGTGTCTGGTATTAGATGTACAGTCATTGGCAATAGAGTGAGTTTAAACTAACTCCTTCATACGTGAATTGAACTCAAAACACTTTGGTCTCATCAGTAAATCAAACTCAAGGACATTGGAAATTTTTAGCTAGCTCAAGATATACTTTCTCATTCAGGAGGAACCTACCACAAATTATAGTAAACATTGAAATGCACTTATATTCCCAACTATATGTAGATTAAATGGAGTTGAGTGGAATTTCAGTTGACAAGATTTAAAGAAATCACTCATGTAGATGTTTTAGTTTTCTTTTTAAAGTTCAGAACATGTGTGTGAAAGTGTGTATATATGAGTATGAATACATGTGTGCACACATATATAGAGAGATATTCTCCAGAGTGAAATATATATTCAACATCTGTGCAAGCTCTTGAAAGGCTTGATGGCATCTGCCTAGAAGTAGTGCAGTATCATGAACCAGGAAGGAACTAAGGACATGGAAGAGTGCCCTTCTGTCCAAAAGCAGTGAATTCAGACCTCCTTAGGGTGGGTGTTGCTACTATGGGAACATGCAACTGTTGGTGGTGAAGAAGCATGTGAGGGTACATGCTGAAGCTGGTTCATAGGATAGCCTGCTTGGTGGCTGAAGACTTTGAAGCTGTGCCAGAGAATGACAGTGCACCTGAACCAGGAAGAGAACCAGAAAGAAAAGCTTCCTTCTCTTGCTATGACATTGAAATATCCCTCCAGCACCCTCTTTTGAAAAAACCTAGCATTGTGTGAACTAGCAAAGAGGTAATGTTTACAGGGTCCATCTTCTGCATCACAAAGAAGGGGAAAAGGAGGTGGATTTGGAGTTGAGGGACAATACCTGATAACTGGCATACAAAATGATGTCTAATATAGGGAGGATTTAGAGTGAGGACAAGGAGATAGTCTGATCACTCAACAAGTACAATTTGATATTCATTCAAATGTGGAGGAGATGAAGCTGGAGAAAATTAAAGTTGAATAATTTTTATACACATGTAATACAGACACAAATATGCACACTTCACAGTACATCTATTAGGAAAGAAGGAACTCAATTAAAAACCATACATACATTTTGTGAAGAAAACTATTTGGTCTTCATGATGATCAGGAGGAGTGGTTGCAATCTTCACATTGCTTTTGCTAAAAGGCAAAATAAATATAGAAAAGTATAGACAGGTCAAGAAATGAAAGTTGGCTGTGACACTCTAAATAGAAATATTATGATATGAAGAGAAAACATACCCATATATCACCTATAAGTAGAAGTGGATATGGAGATATCTAATTAATGCCTTACAAAAGCAATTTGTTAGAGGGACCAAGTAGAGAATAAATTTAATTTCACTTATCTTAACTTACCTGATACACTGTTATTTCTATGCAGTATGCATACTCAGTAGCTAAACCTAAACCCGTAAGTTCTCCTGTTCAGGTCAGTGATATAGATATGTTATGACATTTGCCTGAGAGGAAAAAGTATGCATACTCAGTAGCTAAACCTAAACCCGTAAGTTCTCCTGTTCAGGTCAGTGATGTAGATATGTTATGACATTCGCCTGAGAGGAAAAAGCAGCATAGCAAAAAGAATTAAGAATTAAAAGGACAAACATGCACACACACACACACACACACACAGAAATATCTCAGAATTACTAACCAATGTAATTGTCCAAAGAAAGTTTCAGATCTAAGTTATAATTAAAGATTCTAATTACAGTATCTGAAATTAAGTTTGAAAATCTTGTCCTTCAACATTTAAAAAAAAACTCATGAGTAAGAAGGTAATTAAACTTTGGAATGTACTAGTAGCTGAAAATTGACAAACTTTGTAGTAGGCATGTACATTTCAGCAATTCCTTACTCACTCCTTTGTTTTATATTTTCATTTTTTTCCTCCTTGTTTTCTGCATAGAATGTCTTTTCCTATAATTATAACATTTTCAGTGTGTGCATATCCTTCAAGCATTACTGGTATAGCAGCTACCAATTATTGAGCCTAAGCCTAGACTCAACCTTAGCTTAAATGATTGTTTGCTGCATGTAGGGGTTAGAGCTTGAACAAGAGAAAATTCAAAGTAATCTTGAGATTTCTGATCCAATGTTCATCATTAAACTGTGTAGTGGATTGAATTATGTTCCCCAAAACTCACTGAAGCTTGAATTATGTCCCGCAAGTATTATGTGTTAGAAACATAGCTCCCACTGTGACTGTTAAGAGGGTGGGAAGTCCTATTATGGGAATTGAAAGGTGGAGCTTTAAAGAGGTGATTGTATTGTAGGAACATGCTGTACTGAATGGGTTAAAAATGGTGGTCAAGGGTGTGGTTCAGACGGCTTTCAGAGGAGAGTCTGTCTGTCTCTGCTCTCTCTGCTTCCACCATCTTGCAATGTGAGAACCCTGGTTCACTGTTGCCACCACCAGATGGACTTTGGACTTCCCAATGTCAGAAACTGTAAGCAATAAATGCCATTTTTCTTTATAAATCCCCCAGTTTCAGGTATTCTGTTATAGCAACATAAAGCAGACTAATACAGAAAATTGGTACCAGAGAAGTGGGGTGTTGCTTATAAAAATACTTGAAAATGTGGAAATGGCTTTGGAACTGGGTACTGGACAAAGGTTGGAGGAGTTTGGAGGACTCAGAAGAAGACAAAAAGATGAGGAAAAGTTTGGAATGTCTTAGAGCCTGGTTACATGGTGGCCAGCAGAGTGCTGATAGAAATATGCACTGTAAAAACCGTTCTAAGGAGGTCTCAGATAGAAATCAGAAGAGCTTATTGGCAACTGGGGCAAAGCTTACCCTTACTGTGAACTGGCAAAGAACTTGGCTGCA